TGGGAAACGAGGTTCGTGACACCCGTTTGCCCAGGCTCAGCCCATGTTGCGTGTGGATGTTATAAGGCATACCGTGATAGCAGGAGTGCAACCAACAGCTTATATAAATTAAGACATGAAGCTTATACGGTTCTTGGCACCTCGATTACCAGTATTTTCTCAATTTCAACAACGCTCTTGGGTTGTTACTGAAAGTGAAGATGATCACTTGCAAGCTCCCTCACGTTGTGTCGTGGTGATTGACTCGGGGATTTTTTGTAGGCCCGGGAGCCCGATGTTGACCGTGCGCCGGGAATAACAGCTCGGGGTACAAATTTGATGAGCCGATAAAGAGAGCTGGTCAATTGGAGCAAGCTGTGCAAGCCAGCAAGGCGCCTCGTTGCACGCTCGCCTGGAAGGACCGGGTCGAATTGAGGTCTAGACTCTCTATTAGCTCGGACACTTTGGGAAATGGATCGACCAAGAGACAACGGGTCCAGTGCAAATGTATCCAGTACTGAGCCTTGAAAGACCCGGGAGCCGGGATTGTTTAGAGAGCTCTGAAAACAATGGCACTTTGGATATAAGAAAGAAGAATGAAATGTCGTTCTTCATTACTAGAGGTCTCGTATCGAATATCGAGATGTACTAGGAGTACTTTGAAGCCTTACAAGCTTAGCAAGACCACGCTGATGTGCTGCTGGCTTTGAATTCAAGATCATCTGCTCTACTACACCAGCAGTAAAGAAGGGTTGCGATGCATGTACCCTGAACTTTAGTGGAGTTCCAGGCATTACATCATTTTAACGACCCTCGCTTCCCGTTCTTCTGGGAAAATAACATCCCTGTGCTTAACTTACCTTAGTCCCCAGCCCAGCCCAGCCCAGTCCATTTCACAGTCCACTGGAAGGCGTCGAATTATTGGCAGCAGCTTTTTTTTCCCACTCCACGCGTGCAGTCTTGCAAGACTCACACAAGCCCGGCAGTCGCTGATCAACCTCAGGCTGCCTTTGGTCTGCGTCCTCTAAATCCAGGCCTCCATTATTTCCTTTCCTCCCTACCTAGGTAGTACTGACTCAGCGGAGCTGAAAAGGTATTGCCTGACGGCAGACGCCATTATCCCAATCTTTCGGTCTCTCCTTTACCAGATCCCAAACTTTCCCATCGCATCCAGCTCTGCACTCCCACGAACCCGAGAGGTTCCGCGACAGCGTCGACACGTACACGTTCATCGACTACCTGTTTCCAACGATAACTGGTCTTTCGACTACCCCCCTTCCGGTCTCACCTTTACAACATCCTGTGCGCCGCTATTGAGGTTGTATCGATAACACCAAGAGCATCTTGTGATGCGCCTCCACCAAAACGTGCACACGCGACAAACATGGCCAACCCAGTAGGCGAAGAGAACTGGCTTGCCTATCTCGAAGAGATCGTCCGCAACGCCTCCGACCTCGAGCAGCGAGTCAATGCTGTCGAGCATTACAAGCTGGCTGTCGGCTCTGAGCCTGGCAGCTTACGCATCTGGCTTGCCTACTGCAACTACTTCTGGTCCTTGTGGGAAGCAACTCAGGCCCCTACAGGCCATGGCTGGTCTGATGAAGAGCGCATGCTCGGTCGAGAGCTATTTTCTTTCGGCGGCGCTCTCGACTTGTGGCAGCAAGGCTACGAGGCTATTCGCTACCGCCTAGGGGATAGTCATCTTCTCTGGGATCGTTGGATCTCACTGGAGATGGAATTGCTGGCTAAGACGAGAACCCCAGAAGGCATAAAGCGCATCACACATCTTTATCGTGACCGCCTGCTTACTCCCCATCTTACCTGGGACGAAACATCTCAGAACTTCTCTACTTTCCTATCAGAGTATAACCGCGCTGCGTGGGAGGAATCCATGAAGGATGTTACCACCAATGCCCAGGAGACGAAACGACTGATCGCTGCTCGAGACCCCTACGAATCTGCTTTGAAGAAAGCGATGGACGCAGGTGATGTCGAAGCACAGAAAACTGCCTTCACTACGTATCTTGAGTGGGAGATGCTTCAGAGTAAGCGCAGCAACGACAATCCCGAAATTGGGATTGATCTTTGCCGTGGCCTGTACGCACGTGCTCTCACCGGTGCTCTTGCTACAGACCAAAATACCTGGTACGAGTACATCGTTTTTCTATCCTCATCCAACACCGATCTCCAAGCGCCGAGCAGTCTACTCGACGTACTCCGTAGAGCTGTTCAGCACTGTCCCTGGTCCGGCCTTCTCTGGAATAGATACATTATGTGTGCCGAGGAAGCTAAGCGTCCATTCGCTGAGGTTGAGGCCATCAAACATTCTGCAACTAGCGAGGATCAATTACTCAAGGATGGCATGGAGGGCATGATCGAAATGTATGTGGCTTGGTGTGGGTTTCTGAAACGCAATGCTATGGATGCTAGTGCCTCCGACGAGGCTGTTGACGTTGCCGATGTAGGTCTCATCGCGGCTCTGGAGGACGTTTCAGTTGTTGGAAAGCGACTCTATGACAAGGACTTCCAGGGTGACCCCAAGTTTCGACTGGAACGCATCTACATTCAGTATCTCACGGAAAAGAAGGGTGCCGTGGACGAAGCCAGAGCTCAGTGGAACAAGCTGGCAGCCCTGCAGATCCATGCGGATAATCACGACTTTTGGTTCAGGTATTATATGTGGGAGATGCTCATCTTCTCATCAGCCGGCGCCCAAGACAACAGAAGCCCTACACCTTCCTCTGGCGGTGGCACTTATCGAATACCAACACTGGCCACTGCCGTTCTTACCCGAGCTGTTGCTCGCAGAACTATTGACTGGCCAGAGAAAGTTCTGGAGGTGTATATGCAGCATTGCAACGACTACGAAGTGCCACTGCCTCTGCGAAAGGCAGCGGATCGTGTTCATAAGACTGGGAAAGAAGTCAAAAAGCGCAGGGAACGGGAGGAACAAGAGAAGGCTGTGGCCTATGCCGCCTACTACACTGCCCCTGAAACTCTAGAGAAGGGCCAGGGGTCTACATCACCGGGTGGTTCTAAAAGGAAAAGGGATTCTGAAGTTGACACCACAGATGGACCTGAAAACAACAACAAGCGACAAAGGAATGAGCCCAATGGGTTGGTGTCCCAGCAAGCTCTGGCAACTCAACACGACCAGCCCCTAAAGAGAGACAGGGAAAATTCGACCATCCTTGTCTCCAATCTACCGGCCGATGTTGACAAAACCAAGCTTCGACAATACTTCAAAGAGTACGGCCACATCAACAACATAACAGCTTTGGTCCGCGAAGAGAAGACCGATTCCTCGACAGCACTTATCGAATTCAAGTCCCCTGACGAAGCTCAATCCGCCTTGTTGAGAGACGGCAAATACTTCGGCCAGTCACAACTTACTGTAAAGCTAGGGAACAATTTGACCGTTTACGTTGCAAATTATCCTCCTGCTGCTGATCAAAAGTATATTCGCGACCTTTTCAAAGATTGCGGCGAGATCTTGAGCATTAGATTGCCTAGCCTTAAGGTTGATACCCGACGTCGGTTTTGCTATGTCTCGTTCCGAGATCAGGAGGCATCAGCGAAAGCTGTGAAGAAGGATGGCACCGTTCTTGAAGGAGGCCTGAAGCTTCTCGCCAAGTATTCTGACCCTGGTCACAAGAAGGCTCGTGAAGGTGCCCTTGCAGAAGGCAGAGAGATACATATTAGTAATTTGGATCGAACGGCAACCGAGGCGGATTTGAGAGAAGTCTTTTCCAAGTATGGCAATGTCACGCGGGCCAATCTCCCCCGAAACCTGGTGGGTAAGACTAAAGGATTTGCTTTCATTGATTTTGCGACCAAAGAGGAGGCTGAGAAGGCCGTGGCAGAAATGAACAACACCAAGTTCAAGAGCCAGATCCTAGAGGTTTCTCTTTCCAAAGAGTCAAAGATTAAACGCGCTGCAACAACTGTTGTTACGGATACCGCCAGAAGCTCGCCTGCGCCTTTATCACACGATGCTGAGGGTGACGAAGCAATGGAAGACGCACCCGATGAAGCTCAGTCCAAACCCACCGCAGCGGACATCTCAGCAAAGACGATCGCTCTTATGGGCCTACCTGATACTGTGAACGATGCACGAATCCGAGCACTCGTCGAGCCTTTGGGTGCTATTGTGAAGCTAACTGTGCTCCCCGGTAATGGTGGCGCTAAAATCGAGTTTGTCGATGCAGCTACTGCGGGCAAGGCGAGTTTACAGCTCGATAGTATGGACTTTGAGGGTCACAAACTTCGAACGGGCACAATGGATGAACTTCGGCAAGCCAAGGCAGAACGTACCCAGGACCGTATTGTCTACGGTAAAAGGGACAGGGATAGGAGCAAAGGTCAAGAACAGAAACCCAAGGCTGCAGGTAGCTCGTCAACCACTCTCATGCTACCGCCAACTACAATCCGGCGACCAGTGCTCGGGAAACCTGGCCCTCGCCGTGGCCTGGGCTTCAAGCCCAGCGCACCCAGGCCGGCTCAGAACGGCGATTCTGATACCTCGTCAAGGAAGAGCAACGCCGACTTCAAGGCGATGTTCCTTGCCAGTGGACAAGATACGAAGAAAGGAGACGAAGGAGAAAAGTCTGGGTCTGAATCATAAGTGCAGAGTCAGTCGCTGGTTTTGAGTGGTATACTGATGTAGCATAATGTAATTCATTAAACTTCAATGATATCCAGGGGACTAGGGAAGGGAAGGGAGTGTTTATTACATGGCTGTACGAATAAATGCAGTTGTCGAATGCGATTCAATCAAATCAAACCTGGGCTATCATGCGGTCGGGTTCTTTCATTTGGGAATTGCTCAGATGACTTTCCACTGGTCTTCAAAGCCAGCACGGCTATATGCCAATCACTCCCCAAGAAAACCTGGCAAGATAAAATAAGCACCTTTCTCCCAGTATGTGCAACTTGTCTCCCGTTCTGGTTCTGGCATCCTACGACGGCCTTGATACTCAGTTTACACCTAGTCAAACAAGACACCCATAGAAAGTGTATTCTCACCCCTTGCTCATTATGCCCGCGGTAGATCTATCCTGAAAATCTTGTGTGAAGATCCTCTGCCAAACATCAAGCCACTTTTCTTGCTGAGCAGTAGGGAGCTTGCCTGGCTGCTTGAAAGATCTCGTCAAGAGCTCCCGTAAACGTGTTCGGAGGACCTTCATGACTAGCATCGTTTTCCAGTCTGGTACTGCAAAGCGACCGCGGTTTCCATCGAGAACGATGACCCCGGAGTACATCTGGTATGATCTTATCAGTGATGCAGCTATAGAAAAGTTTTTGTGTTCTTACCTCACATCGTACATCGCCACAAAGTAGTGCAATGGCGAATGCTTCCACGGCAGTAGCCTCGTGGGCGTGGTAAACCCTTGTTGAATATTAGCCAGTTCACCTCTTCTGTGTTCGGCAAAACTTACGCTCTGGACTGCATAATATGATAATAAGAAAGCCATCGAAGGTCGTGGCGTCCCCGATTGACAGACGATGGATGGAGACTAATGGACTGACTTGTGCCGATGTTTCTTAGGCCCTTGGACCCGGGCGCGTCTCTCACAAGAATTTTGGGGTAAAAGCTCCAGGCAATAACTGATGCCGAAACAATATCGTTATCGCTGTTGAGGTTGACTCTTCGAGGAATATCATAAAATTGCTGCTGCCTTCGTCCTCTGCCTCCAGAAAACCGAGCTCGGGAAAGGGCTCTTCTTTCGTCTTCAGTGAGAGAAAGAAAGCCAGAGTCGGCGAGAGAAGTAAGGAGTTGTCCTTTGAGGTCTTCGATGTTTGCAAGAGTTTGCTGACTCAAAAAGTTCTTGCGGCAGAACTGGAACTCCTTTCCGCCGCCCCCAGCAGACTGGCATACTCGCTTCCAAGCCAGGTATGCGTTGTAAATAGTGAGAAGATCGGAATCTCCCCGACGGAAAGCCATGCGAGCATTATCTGCCTGAGCGCGCTGTCCAAACGGCGCCGAGAAGGGTGACTTGGAAGATAGGATAGCAGCAGAAGTGATAGCCATGTCCAAACATTTGAAGATAACTCCATACAGAATGAGTTTACCCAAGAATACATCTAAAGGCAACCTGGCTAATTGGTGTCCAAGCGGTGTGAGTTCTTCAGCCTGAGTAAGGGCGCGAACGTCTATAAGAGCATCAACCGCCCGACGGATATTTTTGGCCGAGGGGGGGTCAAGAGCATCGCCAAGTGTCTCCTCGATCCCTCCGATCTTACAGATCTTGACTCGGATCGCCAAGTCTTGCAAAGAAAGTCGAAGCATCTCGGGCGTCTGCTGGTCGCTCATTAACTCATCATGGCGAAATTTGGTGAACATATGAAAGCATAACCCTTCTTGTACACGCCCTGCTCGACCACGCCTTTGCTTTGCGTTGGCACGGGAAATGAAGGTATCAATCAGGCGTGAGAGTTGGCGTCGCTCATCGAAGCGCATCTCACGATGCTTGCCAGTGTCAATGACACAAGTGACGTCGGGAATGGTGATTCCGGTTTCGGCAATGTTGGTGGCAAGAACGATTTTACGAATTCCTGATGGTGGGACAAGGAATGCCGATTCTTGGTCCTCCGTAGCGATGGTTGAATGGAGAGGATAAACAAGCCAGTCTTTGGCAAACCTGGGATCTCCTAGCAGCATGTCGTTCAGTGTGCGAATCTCAGCAATACCTGGCAAAAAGACCAGAATAGCCTTGCTGAAATTCTGCAGATGTTCGTCAATCGCAATTCGAGCTATCAACTGCAGAATGAGATCGAAATCGATACGGTACTCATCAATTTGAGCCAGTGTCGACCGTGTTCTTGCAGTATATCCTAATAGACTCTTGGAAATATCACTCTTAGTGTTTTCTCCGTCACTCTCTGCAGGATCTTCATCCAAGTCAACCATTTTGTCAGGCTCAGAATCCGCAGGTGTATATCCAGTGAGTTCAATGGCATCCTCGAGGTATCTAACCTGCACTGGGAACGTTCTTCCAGGGACATTGAGAACCGGTGCACCGCCAAGGTAAGCGGAGAAACGATCCGCATCAACTGTAGCAGACATAAGAACAACCTTCAAATCCTTGCGTCTTATGAGGAGCTTCTTCAGGACGATCAGAAGAAAGTCGCTGTCAATAGACCGCTCGTGAACTTCATCAAGAACCAGGTGCGTTACTTCCTGCAGATCATTGGAGCCCTCAAGTATTCGCATTACAATACCAGTGGTTGCGTACACCAGCCTTGTTTCCCGCGAGGTATTAGCCTCGAGTCGAATAGAATATCCGACTAGGGATCTATTCGTTCCGAGGTCATTTCTGTTTTCTCCAAGCTCTTCACTGACACGGCGAGCGAGGGAGATCGCAGAGATCCTTCTTGGCTCTGTGCAGTAAACCTTGCAGGGTTTTCCCTGAGAAAGCTGGTGCTCTAGCAAGAAAGACGGAACTTGAGTACTCTTTCCGCTATTGTCCAGTTAGCAAGACCTCAAGAATGTCGTGTTCGAAAACCATACCATCCAGTCTCACCACAAACAATTATCACTTGATTCTCGTCGACAGCAGCCAAGACTTGCTCTCGGAAATTCCACATGGGGAGTTGCATTCGGGATTGCTGAGTTTCGTTAGCGTCATGGCAACCTAGTAACACAGGTTGTTGCTTACCAGCATCATTTGGAACTTGCGCGTGCTCGACTTCTCTGCCCAAATCTTCTGAAAATACTCCCCATTTGCAGCGCTCTGCCTTGATCGATCTTGACCACCGTCATCGCCAGAGTCGTGAGTATGCTTGGCGCCCCGTCCCCGAAACGCGCCTTGAATGATAACACCATCTTCAAGCTCCTGATCATGTCTCTGACGCACCAGAGCTCTTAAGTCCCTCACCACATCTCTGTCTTGCTCGTCAATTTGAGCTTTTCGTGCTTCAGCAAGTTCCGCCCAAACGTCTTTCCAGACATGGGGAAGTCTGATCACTACTTTTTCGTCCTTGGCATTGCCGCTGAAGGTATAAAACAGGGCCGCTGTGGAAATATAAGATTCGGACTGCTTAGCATCTGGTGTTGCAATGTCGGTCATCGTAAAAGTGAATCTATAAGGGTCCGCCACAATATGTATGTCAGATGAGGCCGCTGGTGGCGGCACTTCTTGAGGTTTGGTCCAGGTAATATCCAAGGAATGGCGATTTGCGAACGAAGCATCTGATACAAAAGAGTATAAAATTCTCGCCGAAGAGTCCCTAAGATTCGCGATCAGCACATTTTACGCAATTTGTAGCGACATCAAGTGGGCTTACCTCGAACGGCATGCTTCCTCAAGTGCCCTTCGAGGACTAATGCCAGTCCACTTCCCAAAATCGCGAATAGTAATTCGATTTCCATCGGCTGAGTTTACAATGGTACGGTTTTCGCCTGTGCTTGCGTCAACCTCGTTTTGAGGCAGAGATGCAAATAATCCGCCAATATCATCTTCATCCTCATCTTGCCCCTCGACTAGGACTTCGGCGGCGATACGCTCAGCTTCATCGTTGATGTCATCATTTTCCACTTGCTCATGAGGGGTTCCATCCGCTCTGGCTGGTATCACCTCGGCTTGAGCTTGGTATTCTTGCTTCTCGGCAGCCAGTCGCCTTTCGAGATCAATTCTCTGGACTCTCCACCGTTGCTCGGCTTCATACTTATCGAAAAGAACATCATTTTCGATCTTCCGAATCTTAGCTTCGAGCTTGGCAACAGCAAGTTCCTCGTCCGATTCTGATGTCTTTGAGCTACCTGACTGGTCCTTTCCGCGCTCGTGTTCTAGCAATTTGGCTTTAGTCTCCAGGTATTTTGGAATAAGCTCGTCAGCTTCTATGTCGCTGTCACAAGCTACCACCAGTTTTTTAATAGGTGAAGAACCCTTGACTGATCGAGCGTTGCTCCCAGCTGGCTTGTTTTTACGGCCGTTCCGAGTATCAGCTTGACGAGGAGTACTAGAGCGACTCGGCATTGGACTGTCCTGGGGAGTATCTATTATACATAGTTAGTCTGAGAGGGGCCCAAGATGCTGGGAGACGAACCACCGGTACTTTTGGGGATCGGCTTCGATCTAGGTTCGTAACTGGGCAGTTCTCCAATCTTGCATTCTCTGGCTAGCCAGTCGAGGGCCTCCTCGAGTCCCCAGATAGAATCTCGATTTGTCGATGCGACATTAGGTGCTATGTCGAGGATATATCGTATCGCAGCTGTCACTCGGTCCGAGGGGAATTCTGCGGCGATCAGGGTCTGTTGTAATGTCCAGAGGCGGATGATCATGTCCTCTTCAGGAGGCACCTTCCCAACGCCAGCGTTCTCCGAGGAGGACAGGCTAGAAGCGGCAAATCGATTTTCTGCTTGCACAAGGTCAAGTATGTGATCCATCAAGTCTGGCGGTAGCCATTTGAAACTATTGATCGAATCGGCCTGGCCACGAAGGAGTCGACGGTCAGTATCGAGACGATTACGTTGCCGTTGAGCATCTTTCTTTGTTTTTGCTGCGTGTTTCTCCACGAGCAATTGTAGCTCAGATTCTTCCAACTGCTTCTCAAACTCTTCGGGGCTGAGGGTCGACTCCTGGGTTCCAGCATTGGTGGTCGCATCGCCAGTTGTTGCGGACGAGGATGGAGGGGCATCCTTCTGGGTCGATGGAGGGGCACTTTGGCCTTTGATTGTCACAGGCTTCGATTCAGACTCGGCAACGTCAGGTCTGGGCTTGGAAGCAACCGACGTGGTTGCGAATCCTCGAGCTGGGTTAGCAGCAGGCTTCTTTTTCTTTTTCGCCCCCGCCATTATCGTCAACCGAGGGAAGAAACTGAGAAAGGGTTGAAAAAAGAATAAGCGCTCTCTAGTTTGGGAGTATCATGGCCGAGAGAAATCTGCCAGTGAAACTGAGGATTAGGTTACCCCTGCAATAAAGAGGGTTAGAAAATTCGATTGCAGGTCATTGAGAGCGCCGATCTACAGACGAAGGGTGCAGGAGTGAAGTGATTTGAAGGTGGAGGTTGTGACGCAAGGGCTTTGATCTCCAGTTCTGTGGATCATGCCTGACGGAGGATGTTAGAGAGGAGGGATAGTACCACAGCAATGAAGCTTTGATCAGCTAGAAGAAGGGCCTTGGGGAGAGATTCATGGTCCAGCGGATATACCGCCAGTGCAACGGAATTGCAATCTACCGACCTCCCTTCCCAACTAGTAGGTACCTAGGTAGTGAGTGACAAGATTGTTCCTTGGATCGATTTTCAGATAGATCTGCAAGGTACAGGTGCATTGCTGAACGACTTCTGTGCTGGAGGCTTAGTCACGGAGGCTAGCAATGTATCAGGACAGGCCAGCCTGCGATGCGTCATGCCGGGCCGCGAGAATTTCAGTGGGCTAGAGACTTTCAGGGCTCCAAACCCCACCTAAATGGCCTGTCGAGCTTTCGACGTGCTACCATAGGTGCCTAGGTAACTAGTTAGGTAGGTGTACCTTAGGTATCTATTGGATCCCTCTGGAGGTCTTAGGTAAGGTGACCACTGTTGATTCAACGTGGGGTAAAGGTCCATAGGTCGAGATATTTGCGTTCTCTTGATGGATTTGGTGCCCAAAAATTCTAAAACACCAACTACAAGCCTACCACCCACCCTTCTTGACATTACCTACGTTCCACCACCTCGACTGAGGATCTACGCCTCGAAATTGGCGTCCACGAGCTCTGGTAGCCCCAGATGAGTTCACCAACCCGAACATATACCTCCGTTTCCGAACTCCAGAATGTCTAAGGGCGACTCATCCGACTCTGGCGCTCCGGCGCCTCTTGACATGGCCGTCGTTAAACAGGCTCTGTCCTCATCCTCGACCGCTGTTCGAATCACTCATTTGCGCACAATCGAAGACAAATTGGCCCAGAAATGTGCGCAAGCCCTTCTCCTCTTCCATCGTTCTATCAACCAGCTGACCGTAGCTTCGAAGCCCTTGACAGCGCCTCAATTACAAGTCTCCTCCCGCTCCTTTTCGGAACATACGCTTTCTACGCAGATAGGCAATCCAGGCTGTCAGTGCAGAAGTGCCTCGTTGCGCTTATTTCGTCTGGTGCCGACTCCAATACAATCGCCCCGCTCATTACTGCCTTGCGTAAGGAAAGCCAGAAACCTGGCATTGCTCCTACCAATGCATTCGTTCTCGTCGAATGGTGCAGTTTGTTTATGCAATATCTCGATGCCTCGCAGTGGGACCAATTTGCTACCGATATCATCCTAGCAGATGCGGATGCTCTAGAGAAGTGCCACCAGCCCGTTTGCAGGAAGTCTGTAACTCACTCCGCCATCATTGTTACAAGGAGGGGTTTGCGGAAACTCTTCTCTTCGAATGAACTGAGCAAAAAACGGCTTTCTGCTTCTGTTGATGTCCTGACTGCGAAGGGGGCTCAGTCGATCTCAAGGAATGCTGTCTTGCTTGGGGTCATCGCTGGCGTATCCGCCAGGAAGGATCACTTGCGACCTGTTCTCGATTCCCTCAAATCCAGATATTACGATTTCTTCACGAGAGAGATCATTGGCTCTCGAACTAGTGTTCCAGAGCATCTAGTGCTTGGACTCGGTAACTTCTTCGCTTCGTTTGCCACACTTGAAGAAATATCCAAAGAACTGATCCCTGCTCTCGAGAAGGGTCTTCTGCGCGCCCCTGAGGTCATTCTTGGTGGAGTTGTGACGCCTCTTGTTCGTTGCCTCCCTGAGAATTTTGATCTCTCCAAGATCCTTGAGCAGAATCTGCTCAAGCCCCTTTTGTCGAATGCAAAATCTACCAATGCAGCTATTCGTGCTGGCTCTTTAGATGCGTTCAGCGCCCTGGTCAATAAGTCTGGCGATACTGCGTCATTGGAAAAGGTCATCAACGAGGTTGCGACACCCCTGAAATCCGGCAAACTTGCATCTCCTGACCACCGTGTACTGCATGCGCAAATGCTTCAGACAGCACCTCTCTCGAAAGCGAGTGCCGAGCAAGTCGCAAACGCAGTTGCAGTCATCGCTGCCAAAGAAGGTAATGAGAGTGCTTTAGCTGCGGAGACTTCAGCCTTAGCAAAAGCAGTTTCTTTCTTATTGACCAACGATGCTGAGGTCCCCAAAAGTGTGCTGGAATCCGTTAATAAGGGCCTTACTGAAAAGAAAATTACTTCTCGGAAGTACTGGTTGCTCCGTGTCGGTGGCATCTTGCAAACCCTCAATGAAGCGCAATCAGTGTCTTCAGCAATGGCTGCTTTTGTGGACGTAGTGATACCAAAACTCATTACCACTTTCACAGAGGTGACCTCCAATGCAGCTAGTGCTGCTCAGAACGGCCTCATTGTTGGTGCCTACATTCTGACGGCTGTAAGCACACATATTAACCGCGTGCTTCCTGGTTCTGCAGCCGATTTAAGCTTGACAAAAGCAGTGGTTACCAAACAATCACTATCCTTGGATCCCAAGTCATCCTTCCTCCTCAGCCCTCGAATCTACTCCAAGGTCACAGCCGAAGAGGATCTTAAGTGGTTTTCACGGGCTATGAACTCTATCTTTCAAGGCCTTGACAAGGAGGCTGATAATCAGGTTGCCCTCGCTTGGTCTGAAGCAATTATTCACCTAGTTACCGCTCAGAGCGTACCGGCAACTGTTCAGCAGGAGACTTCCAAGACCCTTTCCAGTCTGTACGTTCGTAGTCCAAAACTGGTATCAGGTTTCATTATCGCCGGCCTTTGGGATTATCTGAAGCACTCTGGATCTCCTGAGAAGGAACCATCATCAGGCGCTCATAACTTGATCCAGGTTGTGAAGGCTATCTGTTTGACCCCCAGTGACATCGAAAAGTCCGGGGAAACCATCAACACAGAGGATCTGGAGGCACAGGCAAACAACCTCCTTGTTCTGGCCCGCCCAGAGCTGATTCCTAGGGCAAACTGGATCGATTTGTGCCTCCGGATGGAACTGGACCCTGGCAATCTAGTCAAGAAGTACCAAGATGAGCTTTTGACAGAAATAGAGAATCAAACATCGTTCTCCCAGAAGGTTTGCATGACACTCCCGGGGTACAAGAATCTCATTAACCAATACCGACAGGTTGACGCCATAAAAAAAGCTGCGTACAACGCAGCTGCTGACTTGGCTTTTGTTGCTCCCGAAGCCATTATACCGCGCCTGCTGGAGACCCTCAGCCGCGATCTCAACGCCGAGCAACTCCACGATGTTGGTCCTGTCGAAGCGGCCATTTTCAGAACGCCTGAGGGTACCGTGTTCGTTGATGTGCTTGCAAAGAAGTCTCAGCAAGTCTTGGACAAAAATAAAAAGGATTATGACATTCTCAAGTGGGAGGAAGAACTTAGGAGTCAGCTTGAAAGGAAGAAGGGCCAACAGAAGAAGCTGACCCCAGAAGAGAACGCAAAAGTCAATGCTCAACTCAAGAAAGAGAGCCTGATCAGGCAATCTATAACTGAGATCGAGGCAAAACTTTTGCGGGGCATTGGCATTATCCGAAGCCTTGCCACTGGTCCACCAACAGATGCTGCCCAATGGCTCGGTACTGCGGTTTCACTCTTGATCGACATTATGGACGCCGGTGCTACAATGATCACTGGTGATGCAGCTCCATTGGCTTACATAACTTGCGCAAAGAAGGTCACAGAGCGTCTGGGCTCGATGAGGCCTTTTGTTGGCGTCGCGGCCCTCAGGCTGCGCGGCGTGTCGCTGGCAGACAACTATCAAGAGGAAGCTGTGGAAGATTTGGTAACAAGGGTTTTGTACCGTTTACGATTTGCTGGCGAGCAGCGACCTTTCGACTCTGTATCACTCATCTACGCGTTACCGCTCGTGCTGGAGCTTCTCCGTAAAGGTGGAGTTGGTGATTCGCCCGATGATGCAGATGCTCAGCTAGTATTGGCCATCGAGTTCCTCTCATACCATACAGATGTCTGTAGTGATGAAGCTGTTCCTCGTGCTGAGCTCCTTTCAGTTCTTATCACTTCTATGCAGGCATATGCTCAGCATTACAAGCTCCTGAGAGACTGTTTTGCTGATATGTGCCGCTGCATCGCACCAAACATGGACCGTGATGAGATGGTTATTCTTGCCAAGGGTGCGCTGGTGCCTGAAGCGCGAGTCAGATCAACTGTGCTGCAATCCATCAGCGCTGAAATTGACATGAGCGAGCTTGGCTACTCCAGTGAAATCTGGATCGCTGCTCATGACGATGAGGAAGAAAACCAAGATCTCGGTCGGGAGATATGGGAGGAGAGTGGCTTCGAAGTGACGCCGGAAGTGCCACTTAAAATGTTACCTTTCCTCGAGAGCAAAGATGGGCAGTTGCGCCGTGCCGCTGCTCGCTCCCTGTCTGAAGCAGCTAGCTTACATGATGAGTCTTTACCTGCGGCGCTTGACCAGCTCAAGGCCACTTATGTCGAGCTTGCTAAGCCCCGAGTTCAACAGCTCGATGAGTTCGGCATGCCCAAAAAGATGGATCTGTCCGATCCTTGGGAAGGAAGGCAAGGTATTGCTACAGCTTTCAAAGAGATTGCTCCAGTTTTCAAGGTTGATCAGCTCGATCCTTTCTTTGACTTCCTCATCGATGCCGGTCCTCTTGGAGATAACAACGATGCAGTGAGAGGTGAAATGCTGGATGCTTCGATTACGGCCATTGAAATTCACGGCAAGGGCATCCTTGATGAGCTCATGTCAAAATTCGAACAGACCTTGGAACAGCCAGACAAAAACAGCGACGCTGCTGACCGTGTCAACGAGGCAGTGATTATTATGTACGGTGCCTTGGCTCGCCATTTGAGC